CCCCCCAAAGCCCCACCCCTTCGCCTAAGCGCTTCCACCGGAAGTGCGCAACAGCCACCCACAAAGGAAGCTGGGTAACGGAGTCTGCGGACCCCGCAGGCCCCGGCGGAGAACCCAACAGTCCTCGACGGAAAGAGCGGCGCTCCTACGGGCAATGCACGCTGGGCAATGCAGTCCTCAAAGGGCGTATCCCTCTGCGCTTGCGCAGCTGGAGAAGCTCGCGTCCAACCCCACAGAGGTAGCGGGGCAAAGCATCCTGGGTGTTGTAGTCCACCGGCGGGGAGGCGTCTCGGCGCCTTTTCTTCGCACTGCTTTCCAGAGACTGTTAGAGGAAGAGCTGCGTCTTCCGCCTCCCAGGCTGCCCAGCGGCGCCGGTTGCCCAGGAACAGAGGCGCCATGGGAAGGGATGGCGGGAGGGTACGGGCTAGGTGCTGGGTCCGGAACTAAGTTGGTGAAGAAGAGCTCGGGCTCGTCATGAAACAACGAAAAGCCCAGGGGGGCGGCCGGGGGCGCAAGAAGAGAGGTAACCTGCCCGATCAGAGGTTAAGGAGAGCGTAATAGAGCGGGAATAATGGGGAGCCGGTAAAGAACTCTTGTGAGAACCCCCTTTCCGCTGGTAAAAAAAAAAGGGGGGGGGATGAAAGAGAGAGAATAACCAGGGTACTATTGTAGTAAATTAAAAGAGAGGGCCCTCCAGAGGATCTAAAGGAACGAGGGGCTGGAATGGGGAGATGGGACAAAAGGGATGGTAAATGAGGCGAGATCGGGGACAAAAGGCTACGAGGTAGGACCATTCTAGAGGAGAACAAAATAACTGTAGCAGTGTTTTTGGTAATAAAGGTAGGAATGTTTGTGTCCGTGCCTGTTTGTAGCACAGGGGATGGAAATAATAATAATAATAATAATAATAGCGAGAGAGTAGGGTATTCATGATTATTAATGATTGTAATGGGCCATATCAGTTTTATTCATTACTGAACTCCTAAGGACTAGCACAGAGCAAGACTCATAAATGTTCGTTGACTGAATGAAGCATGAGGCAGTTAATCATGAAGCATGAGGGGCTGCTAGCAGGATTTAGCAAAGATAATTGCGGGTCATAGAGAAAAAGTGGGGATGACAAGGTGTGGTAGGACTGGAGGGGGGGTTAAGGACATGAGATGGTCAAAGAGTGGATAGCAGGTGGCCCTCATCAGGTTAGGAGAAAGGAACTGGCCAAAAGAGTAGGGAATATGAACTGTAGTGAGAACAGTCACCCTAGTAACCCAGGGCAGATGAGGAAACTGGAAATTCAATCTCTGCAGGTCAGCCTCCAAGGAGAAAAAGACAGAAAAGGACATTCATGGGGTGACCCCACCGTTACAGGCTCTTTAGTGAGAAAAGAGGTATTGAGATACTGATAGTACATAAGACCATTGGATTAAGGACTGAATCTACAATCTGAGAACAAGTCTTATCCAAGCTGTTTAAAGATCACGAAGGTTTTGAGATATCTTTCCTGTCAAGACGGGTGGAGAATCTGAGGCTGAAACAATGCTGTTCCTCTCTGTGTCAAACCAGTCAAGCATATTTGACTGTTAGGAGGAAAGCCAAAGTAGAGATAATGTAACAGTGTAGAAGAGAATGTTCTCCCTTGTGCACATACAGTAATGCTCATGCACACACCTGAGTGCAATTTCTGTACTGAAACTAATTAACCATAAAGATTATAGTGGGTCTTTTAGAAGGCAAAGAGTATGTTAACTTTGGAAGTACAAAGATTTAGTTGTAAAGATTTCTGATCTGATAGATTCCAGTATATTTGCTTCTTGTGAAGCATAACCACTCCCCAAAGTCCAATAAATAATCAAGCCAATAAATATTTAGGACCTAACACTGCTAACAAATAGTGGCAGAATCTGAAGACGATCGTCTTTGCCCTCACAGACTGTAAAATCAGGACAGGAAAGAAAAGACAGACAGTTGAAGATGGTCCTCAGAACTAGCTAGCGGCATGGTGGTAAAGATGGCTGTTAACACATGACTGTTAATACATGGCCGATAGCACAGTTTGAGTCCCAGACCCAGTGGCTTGAAAAACATGCCAGGCACACGTGCATGCGCACCTAAAATTCTAAAAGGAGGGAGGAATGGAGAAGGAATTGAGGTGTGGTTTCCCCCTGGAGGGTGCTTTCTCACTCTCCATCCAGGTAACACATACATACTACAGGAAAAATATCTTAGAAAAAATTTCACCTACTTCTGAAATTTTAAGAACTTATCTGCTTTTACCACTATATTTTTATTTTTTTAAATAGTATGTTTTAAGTAAAGAGGAGTTTGTATTAGCGTGTCTTAGCTGGTATGTTCTTTACTTAGAATCACTTGAGTCAAACCCTAAATACAAATTAGTTATTATTATAGTGACTTAAGTGACCAGATAGCTTGTTCTCTGGTCTACGTGCTAGTTATTTCTTATGTATTGAAATAGGTAGGATAGGGACCAGCAGTTAGGGTAATGTCTATGTCACTGAACTCCCATTTGGTCAACCATGGTTCGAATCCCGGACCCAGTGGCTTAAACTCACGTTGGGTGCGTATGCTTGCGTGCCCAAGATCCCGAGAGGAGAATGGAGGAGAAGGGATTGCAGCATGGCCATCCCCCCTAGGGGATGATTTCTCATTTTCTGTCTCTCCGTCTCTCTCTGTCTTTCTGGCGAGCACACGCATCCTATAGCAAAAACCTTTCAAAAAATAGAAATAGGTAGGATAAACCTTGTCTCTATATAGACATTAAAATGTTCCGTTATTCCAAAAGTAGATGATATGTTTTCTGTATTTAATCTAAATGTTAAACAGTTTTAAAACTTTTACCTACTTCATAAGGTAGAGCTAGGTCTCACCATGCTGCAGTTCTCGGTGTAGCCCTCCAGTCAGCCAGGACCACACACCTGGCATGTTAAGGTTGACCCAGGGGCCTTCCTCTATGGCTCTACTCTCATGCAGGGGCACCCATCACCTATACTACCAAAGCTGGGCATTAGTCTAAATTTGACTTGTTGTTTATCCATTTTTGGATTCCTCCACAGGTTTGAGTGACATTTCTCCATCTACAAGCCTTCCACCTCTGGTCGAAGGCCAGCTACGCTGCTTTCTAAAACTTACTGTTAGTAAAATAATATGGAAGATTGCAAAGCCTCCTACTTGTGTTCTTGTCCGAGTGAGATGGTGGGGAGAAACATCCGATGGAACCCTCTTTTGTCCCAGAGATGCATTGCAGACTGAACCAAAAGCTGTGAGAACAACTACACGTTATGCTATTCGCTGTGGTCCAAAGCAATTTACCTCTTATCTGACAGGTATGTTTTTATCATTTTATCTGTAGACGTAACAGGAAGCATGTACTTAGGTTGTCATCGACAGGTATTATTGTGTGCCTAGTATCAATGGACATGATTAATTATTCAGGAGTCAAAGAGATTTTGTAATACTGCCATTTATTGAGCAAATACTATGTAGTAACATTTGGTACATATTACTTCTAGTTCTTAAAATAACTTTGCAAGATAGATATTTTGTCTGTTTTATAGACAGTGAGACTTAGGTTTAGAAAGATGTAAATACGTCTAAGGTCACATAATTGGTTAATGGCAAACTAGAATTTGGGCCCCCTTGTTTCTAACACTAAGCTTGACTGCACCGTGCTTCAGTAATAACTATATGTCTCTGCACTGAACCCTACATTATATGCTTGAGGAAGAGAATATAAATGTTAAGTAGACTAATAACACAGGGTAACATACGCTATTGCTAAATGAGTGGCTTAAGGAGTTAGTAATAATATAGGTTTTTAGAGATTGAAAAGTTTTCTCTGTAGGGATCCAAAAGCCATTTCTGTATAAGGAGGGCATTATAAAGATACTGTGTTATGTCTTCATTAAACTCAGGCTTTCACATAAACATATTTTGGTTGGTGGAGTTAATTTTTCCAATCAGTCCATTTCAAGTTGAAATAAAAATATCGCATTTATCACATAAACATTGTTCAGCTAAGGATATTGGAGAGTGAGAGGTGAATTAAAGATGAACTTGTCCTCAATGCAGCCATGATACTATGTGCTAGTTGTAGCTGCTTAGCCAACTGAAGTTATATGGGAGGCCTGGGTTCAGTTCCTGCCTACCCTAAAAGCTAGGCACAGTGGTACACACCTGTAGTCCTATCTGCTCAGGAGACTGAGGCAGGAGGATCACAAGGTCATGGCTAGTGTGGGCAACATGGCAATACCCTATCTGAAAGAGCCACATGATGGTACATTCCTGTGGCCCAGCTTCTCACCAGATTGAAACAGAAGGACCAGAGCATAGATGCTTTCTTAAATTAAAAAAGAAAAAGTAAAAGAAAAACAAAGATTTTTGAAATGCCAAAATGTAAAGGACCAAAAAATGCTGCAATTTGGTCATTTGAAAACTAGCAAATACTTAGCATGTGCTAGTTAATCAGGATGGTATTTAATGCTAATTTGACAAAGGAACTCAGTTATAATAATAGATCAAATTTGTTGCCTTTTTTAACATTTATTTTATTTTATTTATTACTTTTTTACATTTGCTATCTGGTGTGTGTGTGCTCACAGAGAGAGGGAGAGAAGAGAAAGTGAGAAAGCAAGCCAGGGACACAAAGAGCGGTCTGCTATGTAGAATTCCAGCACCTCAGACACCACGCCACCTGCTGGCCTCAAATTTGTTACTTTTATATTTCTAAACCAAAGCCCAAGTTTCTTGGCAAATCATTTATTTTTTTTAAGACTTATTTATTATTATTATTATTATTATTTTATTTGCTATAGGACTTGTATGCTCACTAGAGAGAGAAAAAGTGAGAAAGCAAACCACCAGGTCTGGGACTCAAACCACAGTTGGCCATGTGGGATTTCAGCACCTTAACCACCAAGCCACCAGTTAGTCCCTTGACAGATCACTAGCAATACTCTTCTAAAAGTGTTTCTCTTTCTCTTCCACCCCATGGCCCGATGTTTAATGGAGCCAGATCCCACATGACCAACTGTGTAGTTTTGAGTCCCAGCCCTGGCAGCTTGAAAAACACTAGGTATGTGTGTATGCAGATCCAAAATCCCAATGGTGTAGAGAAATGGAAAAGGTATGATATGACCATGCCCTGTTGGGGATGCTCTCTCCTTGTCCCTTTCTAATGAGTGCATGTGCCCTCTGGCAAATTTAAAATACAAATAAATAAAATTTTTTTTTCTTTTTTTAAAAAATGTTTTCTTTTAATGTGCTCGAAGGTACCTGCACTCACCAGAAAGCAACAGCAACAGAGAGAGAGAATAAGAAAGCACCACCCTTGGGAGATGGTCACACCATGATTCCTTCTCCTCCACTTCTGCTTTTGGATTTTGGGTATACACACACACCTGGCATGTTTTTCAAGCTGCTAGGTCCAGAACTCTAACCATGCATTCAGTCATCACGCTACTGGCTAGCCCTTTATTTAAATTAAAAAACAAATTTGTACTGCCAAAGGGTGCATGCACTCATTAGAGAGAGAAAAAGCATTCCATAGTGGCCCAAAGAACCACAATTCCTCTTCCTACACTTCTTCCCATAAGGATTTTGGACAGGCATGCATACACATGCATTCAGCATATTTTTCAGGCCACCAGGGCCAGATTCAAATGTGAGATCTGGCTTCCAGTGCATAGCACTTAACCATTCCTCTGCAGGGCAGGCCCAAAGGGGTTTTTCTTATCAAATACTTAGTTACTAGATTTTTTTTTTTAGGTTGTGCCGTAGGGCACATACACTCTCTGGAGAGAGACAGAGAGAGGGAAAGTGAGAAATCATCTCCTGGGGAGATTGCCCACATTACAATCCCTTTTCCTCTATCCTTCTCCTTAGATGTCCAGTGCCTTAACAACCCCACCACCTTCCAGCCCCACTCACTATTTTTATTCAGTGTAATCTTTTTCTCAGGATGAGATATTTGTCATTCTTTTCTAAAACATCATTATTTTGATCTTGGGTTCATACTCCTCTGTCTTCAGGATGGTATGGTAAGTGCTTGGTTTATTTGAAATTAAAATAATTAAATGAAACTTCTCAGCGTATGTCCCTCTGCCCATTCTCCTTACCCACCCAAGAATTAAAAGTAAATGAAAACTGAGTATGTTGCCATTGTTTCTGATTAGATATGGCTGTGCTGGTTCTGGAAGTAATCACCAAACTTGATCATCTTCCAATTGGCAGAGTTCAGATCAGTGGACTAGCCCAGCTTTCTCCAACCCATCAAATAAATGGATTTTTTACCATTGTTTCACCAACATCTAAGAAACTCGGAGAACTGCAGGTAAAAATATTTTAATTCTTTGCTGCATAGAACAGAATATTTGGGGCAGAAATAGTTGAGTCTATTTGCAGAATGGATAGGTACATGACTCCTACATTTCATACTGTTTCTCACTTTATTCCTTTGATCATGTTTTCACTCGTAGACATTAACCTGTATCTGTTTCCCTCTTACTCAAAGCCACTTAGTGCTTTACTTTCCATCTCTAATTCTAAGAATCCTTTACAGTTCTCACTGCACTCATTCTTCTCTACACTCTTTATTAAATGCATAAATTAATTACACAAGATTGTTTATTGGTAGACTCCTTTTAATTCCCCTGACCTTTAGTTCTGGATTCCCTGAGAGGCAAGACTGAATTTTCCACTTTCTTTGTTTCTCCCACAGTTCCTAATATAGTGCCAAGCAATAATTGCTTATTTGACTTGTGTAAGTGGTATCTTTGAGGTATTCATTCATTGAATAAGCTTACATTTTTTAAAAGAATTATTTTATTTAACTTTATTATTATTATTATCATTATTATTATTTTCCAGTTCAATCAGAGAGAGACAGAGAGAGAGAGAGGAAATGAGAAAGGAAGCCACCAGGTCCGAGACGTGAACCATGGTCGGCCATGTGGGAGTCCAGTGCCTTTAACCACCATGCCACTTGCTGGCCCAAGCTTACATTTTTTGATACACTATTATATACCACTAACTTAGGATATAACAATAAGAGATGGTCCTTTCATTTGGTTTTTTAGAACACAGTGTGATACATATTAAACTGAAGCTAAGCAAATCCCCAGTAGGATGTGGTCACCCTACAATCCTTTAGTCTCCATTTCTCCATGCAAACAGGACTTTGGCCATGGATGCATGTACATCCAACATGATTTCCATGCTACCAGGGCCAAGATTTGAATTGTAGTTAGCTTGGTGTGACCTGACTTTCTATTCTAAGCCCTTAACTACTGTGCTACAGAACTGGCCATGTTTTATTTTCTTGATGATGTCTTTTGACAAGCGCAAGTTTTTCTTTTTTCACTTTGTGCTATAGGGCACATGTGCTCACCAGAGACAGAGTGAGAGGAAAAGTGAGAAATTACCCCTCAGAGGGGATGGCCACACCAGTCCCTTTTCATTCATTCTCCTTTTGGGGTTTGGACACACACACTCACATATCCAGTCTGTTATTATCTTCCAAGCTACCAGGTTTAGGACTTGAACTGTGCACTCTGCAATGTGGGATCCAGCTGCCTTAGCCGCCGAGGTAAAATCTGCATTTTTATGGTTTGTACTTTTGTATTGTAGCAAAGGAATCTTTATCTAATCCAAGGTTGCAAATATTTTTTTCCAGTGTTTTCCTCTAAAGTTTTTATAATTTTAGCTTCTACATGTTTAACTCATGTCTGGTTAATGTTATATATAGCATGAAGTCATGTCAGGCTTTATTTTTTTTCCTGTACTTGTATCCACTTGTTCTATCACCATTTTTTTTAATAAATAATTATTTAATTTTAATTTTTTTATG